GTAAAAGTGCTCTGACAGCAAGTTTCCAGATGTATGAGAGGCATTTAAGAGCCCCAGCAGCCCCCCTGCTGGGCCCCACACCTCCTGATAGCTGGTCTGCTGCTGGGGATGAAGCGGTGGATCTACTTGAGGAAGCATATTTCCATAGGAAGAAAACACAGTGACCAAAACGTTGCATACCATGTTATCATGATTATGAACTTCTTGTGTTTACAATAAAAAAGCTTTTCAGACATTGGTGTAGAATACAAATAAACCTACTAAATACCTGGTTAAAACCAAATAAATAAAAAGAGGACACACACTGACACAAACATGATTGACACTTTTCAATCAAAACATTCCAAACACATGCTGTTCAAAGCTACTCCGATCTGAGGATATGCTCCTCTGCTCTCTTCATACTGGCCACTGCTCATCTCACTAACACAACTAATCATTTATCAAATATTTATAGTATAAGATATATTCCATCAAATATATCAAAAAGTGTAATGAAAAGGCTAACCTCTGATCACAGAGCCCCCCCCCACAGCCCTGACCCCCCAGAAGCAGGGCAACAACATGGTGCTGCAGAGGGAGATCCTAGCAGAGTATCTTTCTCCCCTCTGCTTGATCAACCAGTCAGCTTACTTTGCTTACTTTGACCTTTGACCCCCTGTAGCGACTGACCAGCCACCCCAAACACCTGAGTGCCCTCTGACCGTGTTTTGATCTGATGATGCCCCAAACTCATTTCTGTTCACTAAATCTTATCCAACTCACGCAGCGCCCTATAATGTTCAACATTATAACAAATAGTGCAGGGGCTCTGGTTGTCTGGTTATTAATAAAGAGCAATGATTGTTAATTAATAATATAAATAACAAACTTACTAATATAACCTTTGGATTTTTGATGTGCACAATAATAGTGCCTGATTATAACATGTTTTCATTTGACTTGCAAGGCCTTGTGGTCTTCCTATCAGACAAATGATCTAACAGATATAATCTTATATTTCTCAAGGCTCAGAGTAGGTTAAGAGACACCAACACTTCATTTACGGCCATACTTGCCAACCTTGAGACCTCAGAAATCGGGAGCATTTCAAAACCACCGCGGGGGGGGGGGGCTGTATTAGATTAACATGAACATGCTCATTGTAGTGGTAAGTGCACTGCCTGTAGCACCATCCTGGAGCATATGTGTCCTGTATTTTCTCAGGAAAGGAGTGAGCGGAGGGTCGTGTTGTCGATTTTTGTTCAGTTTTCTGTGACAATCTTCCTCACCCTCTCAGACTTTGAGTTGCGCGCGCTGCTACCATGGAAACCAAACAATGGTGTAGCTGTATTAAAGTCCGAGTGGAAACAGTCCTGAGTAAATCTGATTTTGTCAGAAATCGGGAGAAATATGAAACCGGGAGAGGGCAATGACATCGGGAGTCTCCCGCGAAAATCGGGAGGGTTGGCAAGTATGACAGGTCAGCAGATAAGACAGCTGAGGGCTAGAGAGATAAAGTTCAGCTACATTGACCAAATGTGAACAGATGAAGAACAGCATGGCAGGCTGGGCTTAATAAAACAGAACGGCAATTAGTGTGCAGAGCCAAGTCTCCTGTTTCAACCAAAGCCGCTGTGTCTATGAAACTTGGCTAATAGCAGCATTTCATATCAGGACAATTCTGTCCTTCTGCCAGCTCACTGTCATGCTGTGCCAAGATGTACGTCATTAAAGCACCAATAATTAGGACAGCTTTCATTTTTCCAACCTAAGACATGTACTAAGGGGCTGGATGTCCTATCATGTTCTACATATACTTTAAGAGCCGCATTTAAGTTTATTTTGTTTTGATTTATTTGGAACCTTTATTAATGCATTTTCTGTTTCAGTGAGAGGTGTGCTTTGCTCAGGTGAAGGGGGCGGGGCTAAGGGCAGCAGGCAGCAGCAATACCGTCATTGACACGCGGACGCAACCTTATACTTAGTCAAATACAGATTATTAGGATCTGCTGCTTAAGTTTATGTTAAATATTGTTTTCGTATTTTGTTTATGTTTTGCTGGAAATAAACGTTGAAAAGCAACCGAAGCGTCCAGTGGATTGTGTACTGCGAGTCTGACACTGCTTCCGAGGCCCAAGCTCTACATGTGGCCAAGAACAATAACTTTTGAGGTGAAGGTTACAAGACAAACTTTTTGGGATTTTGGCCACTACATATACTGTTGGTGCACCTCTCTGAGCCTGCAGCCTATCAAAGTGTCAGACATTATATCGGCCAAATCAACTTAAATATGACTTCTGATTTTCTGTCTGGAGGCAATGTTTGTTCCCTTTTGGGTTTTCATACATCAAGCTTTTTGGGGCTGCTCTGCCAGAATGGAGATGTCCTAATCAGGTGCTAGGAGACCAAATAGTATTAAGTATGCTCATTCCATTATCCAACCATCCTCCATTGCCCCCCCAGAGGGTCTGCACTTCAGGTACAGTTCATTATTTGGATTTGGAAGGAACAGCCTTGAACATCTCTCTGTGGAAGAAGGATCTTTAAAGAGCTAAACGAATGTAGAGCGAATGGCTCAACAATTACCACTGAAATATGAAACAATGAAAACAGGAGGTGATGGCCATAACATAAGGCTTTCTGATTGAATGCCCAGACAAATATGGAAAATAATTGAAGCTAAGTAAATAGTGATTCTACAAAAACAAGAATGAACAATGCTTTTTATTTGTACCATTTATATAAATATTTTTCAAGATTATTCACAAACATGGTCATCATATACAGTATGTATCAACCAAAAGTTATAAAAGTTGGAGTGCATGAGAGTTGTATTTACTGTATACTTATATAAAGAAAACTGGTTCACCTTTGCTATTTGCAAACGGTGGTGTCCGGATGCAGGGCCAACATGGTACATTCTGCACATGTGTGTGTCTATATCTTGCATTGCACTGATGAAAAGGCAATGATGGTTTGTGAAAGGCAAAAGGAAAGGGTGTGGATAGTCTTTATAGTCTTTGAAGCAGATGCACAATCAGCGATTAAACAAGAGACACAGGGAAATGTAAAGCTCCTGCTTAGTGGCGAACTCTCAACTGTGTCTGTATTTCAGTCAGTGGAGAAGGAGGATGACAGTTTACTGAAATACTGCCTGAGAGTAGTCTCCATGGGGATTACATGAGGATGCAGATTACTTCTTATGAGCAAAGTATGCATTTAAGCTCTCCACACAAACACTTCCCTTTCCTATCCTTCAGTGATATCAGCAGGGAATGCTCTCTGTAATCACACCATGTTGGTTTGAGGGTGAATCTAACATTATATCCATAACATAATGCAACATCTCAGTGTACAAATCAGTTCACAACATTAACAAAAGAAACTCTTTTTCTTTTCATACATCCACACAAATAGTTTTTTTTTTTGCAACACAATATAATATATTATATTTCTCTATTATACTATATCCATCTATCAGATTTCTGCCTCCTCCCTACCACTTGATGACATATCTCGGGGTTCTCAAAAGCATGTACAGTAGTACTGAACTACAGTTTTCATAACAAAATGATATTTTAGAAAGTAGTTCATCTGAATACTGTTCAGAATTCACTGAGGTCTGAATCTTGAGTAACTGGGAAAAAATGTCTGGGAATAAATAGTCCTGTTGATTTTTTTATTAAACATTTTAGAATACTTTGAGCACCATATAATGGCTCCAATCTCAAAGAAACTACCTGTGTAGCTAACTGTTATTGTCTCATTGATGTGTTGCAAAAGCCTCTGAAAACAATTCACATCATTTATCCAGGCTTTGTCAAAGTTGGATCAATACTTTGAGAAGTATCCTGTGTGACTATAGGTACACTGCCAAACACCAGAAGCTTTTATTCCTCTGCTTTATGAGAACGGAGTAGGGGTGTGATGATGGATTGTTCAATTTGCGTGATATTCTTTGTTAAAGAAGACTGATGGTACTGCTGGAGAAGGTACGTGTTTCCTCTCCCACTTCCCCTACTGCAATAAATGTTGTGAATACCTGAAGGGCTGTTTCTCATAATGACACATTACCAGGTCCAACATTGGTACCATTTCACTGTCTCTGTGTGATCATGTGAAAGGGTGTTTTGGGGCAAATCATGATTTTTTTTCAAAATGTTTCAAATTTGGAGTGGAAGTGAGGACGTACAAATAGGCAGTTCAAGACCAGGGAGAAGTCCATATGGGAGAAACACTAAGGGTATAAATAAATATTTGATTTAGATTTTTAAACAATAAATCATACCTGAGCATTATTATTATGATGTGAAAGTAAGACCATGAAGATGTACACCATACCTGTACACAGCTCTGTTCACTTTGCACCATGGCGGTGTTAATTGGGAGGAAATCTTACCTTTAAAGCTAAAATTGCATTTCTATCGTCTGATATTAGATATTCAACAAAAGGATAAACCTTTGAAAGTTGAAAGACAAAAGATGGAATGGATGACATACAGTAAAGTGCACTGAAAAAGCTGAAACCTTGACTTGAATTAAATGTAGTGTCGACAGATTTCACATAACTGTATAAGGTTAGTTGAAAGCAATAATAGCAATTATATTTAAAAAAAATACATATATATTAGTAGGTTCAACTTAATATTATTGCTTTCAACTAACCTAATCGTTTTTTCAGTGTATGACCGACCTTGTATGCTTCACTCGTGGCACACCGTGACCCGGTGAGGTCGAAGGTACAAGTCCGATTTTAAACTATTTGGAACTGTGAAGCACAATGCTTATTAAAGACTTCATGTTATTGTAATCTAAAGTCTGAAAGCATGTGCTCTTGTAGAAAAGAAACTGCACATGTTTAGTTATTATACAGTTATTTTTGAATGATTTATTTCACTGTGGATATTTGGGACAATGTTAACAGATATGTAAGACCACTTACATTTCTTAACAATGTTCAGTGAATGGCTGGCATTATTAGTACTTTAATGTTTTTTAATGTTAATGTTTTTTTCAAGGACATGCTCGGGCTCAATCAATCCTGCTTCAACATGGTGGACTCATGAAAAGCATGTGGGTAGAGCATACAGGATTGTTAATGAGGCCCAGGGACAGTCTCCCTCAGAGGATAAAGAACTGCTTTAATGCTTTGTTCCACTTGTTTTTTTCAGAGAGGATGGGAGCAGCTCACAAGGTCTGAGGGAAGTCTGTGAAGTACGTACAGCAGATCACCTGATGCATCATGCCATCCTGTTTTAATTTGCATACCTCAATGGAACTGAACTGAGGTGTGGCAAAGTATTGACGAGCAGAGTGGGGTTTGTGATGCCATGACACTGGAAGCACTGCTTTGGTTGTACTGTCTATATCAGGGGTGCCCAACCAGTCGATCGCGATCGACCGGTCGATCGCGGGGAGATTCCCAGTCGATCGCGAGATGTGTCTAAAAATAGAACAACAATATTCTGTTTTATCGTTAATGTCCTGTAACATAATCTTCCCGTGCCAGAATAATGCACTTGAACGCATCAAAGCTTTGTGATTGGCCGGCGTGACCCCATGTGTCGGGGCGTGGCTGGTGAGCAGTGGGCAGTGTGCACTGCACTAGTTCGCTAACGTTGTCCGTGTCAACACAGGAGTGACAGTCCGCACACACACAAGACCGCAATTATGGCAGAAGCAAAACATATAATTCTCACTCCGAGTGGGAGGATGATTATTTTGTTATCTATTCCAATTCAAAGTCCATCTGTCTCATCTGCAATGCGAGCGTGGCTTTATCGAAGAAGGGTAATTTAGGAGCGGCATTTCAAAACAGTGCACACACGCTACGAGACGGAATTCCCTCCTAATTCTGCCCTACGCTCCAAAAGGGGAGGGGCCTGAAAGGACAGCTAAATGCACAGCAGTCCATTTTCACCAGGCCCAACAACAAGAGCAAGGCTGCTACCATAGCATCTTATCGTGTCAAGTCACGTTCTTGAGAAACACATGAAGTCTTTCAAAGACGGCGAAGTTGTGAAAGAAGCATTCCTGGAGGCTGCCGACGCGCTTTTGGGGACAGTAAAAATAACAGTAGCATTTCAACAGGTTTTTGATATAATAAAAACTCAAGTTAGATACCGTTATTAATCTGCTGTAAGTTTGAGTTTGTTTGAATTTATTCATTATAATTATTGTACAACATGGTATAAGAATGCAAACATTAAGGTCTGTTCTGTTTAAATTGATTATAGTCTATTATCAATTCAGGTTAAGAAGCTAGTGTTGCTAGCATCCTATTTTAAAGGCATTTCTTTTTATACTCTACTAAAATGCAACAAAAAAAGGTTTGATTCTATTAATGTTGTCTTTTTTATTGCACTTTGGCAGCAGATTCCTGTGTAGCTTCAGATCTGAGTTGTCTTATTAGTAAGCCTCATTTATACTTTTGTAGCAACACTATTTTTATATAATGGCAAATAAAGGGTTCAGCGTCTTTTCTTTTTTTCCTGTGTCATATGTGGCAGCACTGTTCAATGTTTCTTGAAAACATTACCCACTGTAGTATGTGACGTGTGAATAAACTCCAACTCTGTATCAACAGCACTGTTGTGTAACTTCAGTTAAATACTTGTATGTGTGTAGATTAGAAAGAGGTAAGATAAAGGATCTGCAGTATTTTATGAAGTATTCATCGTACAAAGGTCAGTTTTATACAAGAAGTGTGTATTTACCTGGTAGTAGGCTGTCAGTAATGGCTATGCCTCTCTATTTGGACTGGTAGATCTCGGCAGACTGGCAACTTTAAAAGTAGCTCTCGGTTCAAAAAAGGTTGGGCACCCCTGGTCTATAGAGATGTAATAGTGACATAAGGACACTTGAAATATAGAAACTATAGAAACTATAGAAAAAACGGAATCACTGAAAGAAAGATCTAGATTTTGGATACTGGGCCAAAGACTTATTTTCATATCGCACATCGACATGCACGACAGCATTTTTAGACAAACAGCTTTAGCCTAACAAGATCTGAATTCAAAACCTGACTGCAAACTGGCAAACTAACAAAGATACTTTCATTTTTCCTCTTGATACTAAAATAGCGCCTGCTCCGTCCTTTCATCTACTTGTCATCACTTATAGTCAAGGGACTCTAGTTTTGCAAGTTAATTCCCTTTCTGGTTATTAATTGATAAAAGTCATTGGATCATCTTCTCATTTAATTGTAGAACCTATTCTACCAAAACGAACACATTTCCATGGTTGTGTTGTGCATTGATTTTATAGTGAAGAAAACAACTTAATATTGTCATATGAAGATAATTGGTGAAACGCCTCCTCTGTCAAAGCTGTAGCTGGTGTCCATAAACAGTTACAGGGTTATGTTATATACAGTTTATACTGTATGTAAATAACTATACCAATAACCATTCAATATCTTATTTTTATTTGTAAAGCTTTCTACAAGATTCCTGATATATCCATGATGAGACAGCATCAGTTCAGTCTTACTCTAGAGGGGCTGCAGGGCAGACACACTGGATTTGAAACATGTTATCTTTGTTTAAACCCGGCCCTGACAGAGATGGTTTACTCCCAGGGGTTGGGGGCATACTTTCCAAGTGGCCATAGGGATTTTCAGCAGGCCAGGAGCATATGGGGTCTGGGCACAGACCCAGGGCCGCCCCTCCCTACAGGCCAATCACGCAAGCTGCATGGGGCCCCGCCTTGCGCAGGGGGCCCCGCCCAGAGGGCCTCAGCTGCTGTGCGCAGTTCCCCGCTCAGATCTCAGCTCAGTTCTCAGCTCAGTTCTCCGCTCAGTTCTCCGCGCACCCCCCGCGAGAGTGAGAGTGAGAGATGACAAGGGGAGCATGTCTGTAACCCGACACCGTTGTAATGTATCGACATCTGACCAATCACGGCTTTGATACGGCCACTAGTGCAGGTAAAGAGATGTCGGTGAAAAGACAGTTTCAGTCCGGCGCAAAAAACAAAACATGAAGAAACTAGAGCATCACTCGAAGGTGGGTTATTGTCAGTGGCGTTTTCTCCCGGAGGCCAAGGGAAGCCAGGCTTCCCCTGTTTTTTCGGATTGTAGTTATAACTTAAATAAATAAATAAAAACACTTTGTTTTGTTTCTGTAATTCTACTTTCCTGTGTGTTCCTGCCGGACCGTCTCTCCGTCTCTCCCCCATTCTCATTGAGTAGTTTACAAAGAGTGAAACAGCGCCCCTCTAGATGTCATGGTGAAACAGTAGATTGCATTCACTGTTGCGAGAGGAGGCCAGCAGAATCTAGCTTCCCTTGGTGAAAAAAAATTGAGGGATTAACCAATCAGATGAGGCCCACGTGATGCCCCTGCCAACCTGTGATTGGTCAGGGCCATGCCAGGGGAAGCCAGCCGCCTCTAGCTTCCCTTCAGGGGCGGCTGGCGGCTGGCGATTTGATTGGACACTGCCATCCAATCACATCAACATCAATTTGAATACTGTAACTGTCATCACCGCCGTTAGAAATGATCAAGCAAATGAAGCATTATGGAGGGAGGAGATTTGGCGTACTTAATTAAGCATAACTTCACTAAACTTCCGCTACAGCAGCAACTAAAAATTAAAGCAGATGGCAGGACAACGCCCACACTCGTGCTGTGTACACAGAGGAATAAGGGATCTAATCGGACGTTCAATCAGTGGCGTTTTCTCCCGGAGGCCAAGGGAAGCCAGGCTTCCCCTGTTTTTTCGGATTGTAGTTATAACTTAAATAAATAAATAAAAACACTTTGTTTTGTTTCTGTAATTCTACTTTCCTGTGTGTTCCTGCCGGACCGTCTCTCCGTCTCTCCCCCATTCTCATTGAGTATTTTACAAAGAGTGAAACAGCGCCCCTCTAGATGTCATGGTGAAACAGTAGATTGCATTCACTGTTGCGAGAGGAGGCCAGCAGAATCTAGCTTCCCTTGGTGAAAAAAATTTGAGGGATTAACCAATCAGATGAGGCCCACGTGATGCCCCTGCCAACCTGTGATTGGTCAGGGCCATGCCAGGGGAAGCCAGCCGCCTCTAGCTTCCCTTCAGGGGCGGCTGGCGGCTGGCGGCTGGCGGCTGGCGATTTGATTGGACACTGCCATCCAATCACATCAACATCAATTTGAATACTGTAACTGTCATCACCGCCGTTAGAAATGATCAAGCAAATGAAGCATTATGGAGGGAGGAGATTTGGCGTACTTAATTAAGCATAACTTCACTAAACTTCCGCTACAGCAGCAACTAAAAATTAAAGCAGATGACAGGACAACGCCCACACTCGAGCTGTGTACACAGAGGAATAAGGGATCTAATCGGACGTTCAATGAGGACAATTATGTCCGCACGGAGTGGCTAACTGGAAGCGCTAAACTTCAGCGTCTATTTTGCTGGCCATGTCTTCTTTTTGACAAGGGTTCGTGCTCCCTGAACAATCCTTGGGCAACTTCAGGATTCATCGACCTTGCCAACCTGTCACGGGCAATTGAGAGGGACGGTAAATCTAAAAATCATATAGATTGTGCTGTGAAATTAAAGCTTTTTGGACGCGTCAGGATTGACGAGGCTCTGGATGTAGCAAGAACCATTAGCACAAAGAAGCACAACGAACAAGTAAAAAAGAACCGGGATATTCTGAGGAAACTCATCATTGCTGCCCTGTACCTTGCACGTCAAGAGCAAGCATTCAGGGGACACAATGAGGCCGCTGGCAGCTCTAACAGGGGCAATTTTGTAGAGCTGGTACGTGCATTTGCAGAGTTTGACACTGCACTCGCGGAGCACTTGGGATCGTCAACAGTCTTCAGTGGTATGTCAAACACCATACAAAATGACATAATTGAGAGCATAGCTCGTTGTATCCAGGATGAGACTAATAAAGAAATACACATTTCTCCTTTCATTGCTGTACAAGTGGATGACACATCAGACATCTCCAATAAGTGCCAACTCACTATCATAATCAGATATGTGAATGAAAAAGGCAGTGTGTGTGAACGTTTCCTCGGCTTTTTTGATGTCAGCTTAGAAAGAGATGCAAAAGCTGTAACATCAGTTGTCATGAGAGCCATCGGGAACTACAGCCCAACAAACAAACTGATTTGTCAGACTTATGACGGAGCAAGCTGCATGAGTGGACAGCACGGTGGCGTTCAGGCTTTAGTGAAAGCACACTGCCCCAATGCGCTATTCATCCACTGCTATGCTCACAAATTAAATTTGGTTTTAGCACAAGGCACAAACAACATCCAAGCAGCCAAACTGTTTTTTGCCAATCTCGATGCCTTCCACAATTTTTTCTCACGTTCATGTAAGAGATCAGCACTACTGTCTGAAGTTGATCGAGCTGTGCGTGTACCAGGGGGTTCTGCTGTGAGGTGGAACTTTAAAAGCTGCGCAGTACACGCCATCCATGAAGGACGCGGGTCGCTCTGTATCGCTTTTGACAGGATAA